ACCACAACGCCTGGCTATTTTTTTTGGTTGCAGCCATCACTGTTGTTTGGCGGGCCCGAGCTGTATTCGAACCCGCCACCTTAGGTGTATGTGGCTGGCGCCTTAGCCACAGGTGCCGAGCCCAGGCTCTAGTACTTACTGGCTGTGTGACTGTATCAAGTTGTTTAACCTGTTTGAACTTTAGCTTGTTATCTATAACAAGCAATAATGATCTCCACCTCATCCACCCAGTGAGATAATTAACAGAAATCTAACATGGGAAAGCAGTTAGCAACCTGAAAAATGTAGGTTCATTCCTTAAGGAAAAAAAATTATTCACTTCTTCCAGCCTGAGTTTTGTCCCTGGACCTCACTCTAGGTGACTAACAAGGATGAAGAACAGAGACCTATGTAACTGTCCTTCTCCGAGCACTTGCAATGTGTCAGAAACTGTGTTAGAAGTTTTAAATCCTAAGATAACGTATCCTCCCACAAACTCCTGAGGTAGTATTTGGTCCCTCAGGCACGGACAAGTGTAATGCAAGTAAACGGCAACAGTAGTACACAAGCTTCAAGCTCTGGTCTGTCTGTCCTCAAACTCTGAAAATATACCCTTGCCTTTTCTCAAGTCCTTTTAAATTTACAGCCTCACTTCATACTCACAACAACCCTATGAGCTGGACAAGACAGATACCAACACCATTGTTCAGAAGAACAGATACAGAGAAGTTAAGTGACTTGCCCAAGGTTATATAACCAGGCAGTGGCAGAACCAGAATCAGAGTCCAGGTGTCTCGACTCCCACAGTCCAGTGCTTTCTATTACACCCACAGCGACAACTGGAGTAAAGTTATTTTGGGCCTAAAGGGGTAAAAGTACAAACTAGTACATAATGTGGAAACACATGCAAACAATAATGCAAATGAAATGAACAACAGGAAGGAAAGCACACCTGGAGGTTGTAGACTCACAGAGCTAGAGGGGAATGCTAAGTCTCCTCCAAAAGACAAGGAAACAGCTGAGACACCAGTGATGTGCAGGAAGTTAGCAGCAGGATTGGGGCTAGATACTACTTCTCTTCCCTCAACATAATCACTGCACCTACTGTTAACAGCAGGAATTCCCAAAGTAGAGCGAGGAGGAGGAGCCCTGGGATGAGAACAGTTGGAAAACCCAGGTTGGCTTGTGGAGGTAAGATCTAAAGACACAGTGCTCAGCAAGGTGCAGTGGCTCCCGCCTGTAATTCTTGCACTCTGGGAGGCAGAGGCGGGAGGATCATTTGAGTCCAGGAGTTTAAGACCAGCCTGGCCACCACAGCTACAAAGTTTAAAAAGTTAAGCATAATAGCACACATCTGTACTTCCAGCTATTCTAGGAGGCTGTAACAGGGTATCGCTTGAGCCCTTGAGTTTTTTTTTTTTTTTGAGACGGAGCCTCAAGCTATCCCCCTGGGTAGAGTGCCATGGCATCACACTCACAGCAACCTCCAACTCCTGGGCTCAAGCGAGTCTCCTGCCTCAGCCTCCCAAGTAGCTGGGACCACAGGCGCCCGCCACAACGCCTGGCCATTTTTTGGTTGCAGCCATCATTGTTGTTTGGCGGGCCCGGGCTGGGGATTCGAACCCGCCACCTTAGGTGTATGTGGCTGGCGCCGAGCCAGAGCCCTTGAGTTTTACGCTACAGTGAGCTATGATTGCACCACTACACGCTAGCCTGGGTGCAAGACCCTGTCTCTAAAAAAAAAGAAAAACAGGAAAATGATACAGCTGAAGTTCAAGAGTTACCAACTCTGGTACTGCCCTAATTAGAAGATGCCTAAGCTGTGGTGCTGCATAAAGGAGTGAGTAATGGATGGCTCTTCTCCTCACCTCCTGGGTAAATACTGGGAGGCTGTGTAAATAAGAACTTTGGTCCCTGGGCCAGGCTACTTAACCATTGGCAACTGATTACCCCTCTGGTGCTTCCTTTTGCAATGGGTTTGGCCTGCTTGGGTTTCCAAAGCTTTGTTTATACGGCTTTGGGATATGGAGCCCCGTGGGAGGGAATGGGTTTTAGATATGAGAAAAAAATATTTTCCTTCAGGCCGCAAACCAACAAGTGGCTAAAATGGCCAACCCATTTATTCTCAGCTCAATGAGCTATGTGATTAGAGATGGAAAGGTGGGGAAAGGGAGAGGAGACACTTGGGCTAATCTGTGAGGCTAGTGAAGAAAACCCCCTTTTCTGGGGGTTTTCCCCTCTTCCCATTATAAATACTTTTCTCATTCTTAGGCTGCCTTTAGACTAAAGGAGAGCAGTATTAGGTGACAAGTGGTAGAACAGATAGGCAGAAAAGGCAGTAAAATGCCTATTAAAGAATGAGATAAAAAAAAAAAAAAGAATGAGATGCATGGGATTATATATAGCGATTTTAGGATAGTGCTCATACTTTAGTGGGGGTTGGGCAACAGAGGGTGAAAAGGGTATGTGATCAAGGAGAGGTGCCCAAGGGAACTTCAACCGTAGTGATAATATTTTCTTTTTTAGGCTGGTAGTGGGCACATGAATGTTCATTATATTATTTTAAAATATATTTTGTAATATTTTATATGTACCTTACTTTTAAAACTCCAGAATCAGAGGACCAGAGTTCCATTCTCCATTCTTTTTTTTTTTTGAGACAGAGCCTCAAGCTGTAGCCTTGGGTAGAGAACCGTGGCATCACAGCTCACAGCAACCTCAAACTCCTGGGCTCAAGCGATTCTCCTGCCTCCACCTCCCAAGTAGCTGGGACTACAGGTGCCCGCTACAACACCTGGCTGTTTTTTGGTTGCAGCCGTCATTGTTGTTTGGCGGGTCTGGGCTGGATTCGAACCCGCCAGCTTAGGTGTATGTGGCTGGAGCCTTAGCCGATTAAGCCATAGGCGCCGAGCCCTATTCTCCATTCTACCACCACTTTGCTGCATGACTCTGGGAAAGTCATTTCACTTGCCTCGGTCTCAATTAATATGTCCATAAAATGGATGAGGATGTCTCTCAATAATTTTATTTTCCTTTCTTTTTTGTTTTGTTTTGTTTTAGAGTCTCACTATGTTGCACAGGCTGGCACTGAACTGAACTCCTGGATTCAAGTAATACTCCTGCTTCCCAAGAGCTGGGACTACAGATACCCAGACCTAATAGACCTAATATTTTACCATATAACTTTTTTTTGCAGTTTTTGACTGGGGCTGGGTTTGAACCCACCACCTCTGGCATGTGAGGCCAGCACCCTACTCCTTTGAGCCACAGGCGCTGCCCACAACTTTATTTATTATTTATTTAAGAGACAGAGTCTTACTTTATCGCCCTCGCCACAGTAGAGTGTCGTGATGCCATAGCTCACAGCAACCTCCAACTCCTGGGCTTAGGTGATTCTCCTGCCTCAGCCTCCCGAGTAGCTGGGACTATACGCGCCCACCACAACGCCCAGCTTTAGCATACAACTTTAGAATGCTGGATTCAGAAAAACTGCAGTGCCAAAGCAGAACCTACATGCTCCTGAGGGCCTGATATTTCATCTGCTTAGACAGATTTATAAATTAAGTAATAAATCATAATAGTCAAAGCTACTAATCATTGAGAGTAGGTACTCTGAATATATTATCTCTCTTATCCCCCATCTCAGACTATGTATTAACACTATTGTCTTCCTCCTAAAGAGGGCACATAACACTCAGAGAGCTTGGAGACTTGCTCAAGAACACATAGCTAAGTGGCAGAGCTAAGACATAAAAGCTCATTTTCTTTTTTTTTAATTTTTAATTTTTTTTTATTAAATCATAGCTGTGTACATTAATGCAATCATGGGGTACAGTGTGGTGTTTTCATATACAATTTGAAATACTCTCATCAAACTGGTTAATGTAGCCTTCGTGTCATCTTCTTAGTTATTAAAAGCTCATTTTTCTGCTTTAATTCCAACCTGCTTCTTTAGTGAGAGCAGAGCCTATCCTTCGCCTAAATAGGTTATGGAAATTGCTCAAGCAACAGTTATCAACCTGTGTGTCACGACCTCTTTGTAACAATGAAAATACATTGTGGAATTAGGAAGGTTGAGAACCACTGCGCTAAAGGAATCTACAGCAAAGGAATGAATTTGCCTCACCTTGGAGGGAAATAAGACCCTGCCAATTCAGAAAGCAAACAACATACTCTAACGGGGCAGCAGCTCCTGGAGTTGTAGGTAGTAAAGAAGCTTCATGCTTCTAAGAAAGTCTCCACATTTCTGTCATCATTACCATAGGTATTGGCAGTAATCTATGATTTTCTCCCTTGGGAATAAGACTGTCTTGTGGCCATTAGAAATAAACAAGTATCACAGATTGCCTGATATTTCAACACAAACTGTCATAAGCTAATAAAATCTTTTTGGGGGCTTGGCGCCCATAGCTCAGTGGTTAAGGTGTTGGCCACATACACCAGGGCTAGTGGGTTTGAACCTGGCCTGGGCCTGCTAAACAACAATCACAGCGACAACAAAAAAAGGGCCAGGTGTTATGGCGGCGCCTGTAGTCCCACCTACTTGGGAGGCTGAGGCAAAAGAATCACTTAAGCCCAGGAGTTTGAGGTGGTTGTGAGCTGTGATGCCGCACAGCACTCTACTGAGGGCAACATAGTGAGACTCTGTCTCAAAAAAACAAAAACAATTTTTTTTGGACAATACTGTTTCATTGTATGGAGTCTTAGGTGCTAAGATACTTTCTAAAATAACACAAGAAAGTAATCAGGTATGATTGTTTTGTCCTAAATTTGAACACATGTTTTCCCACAATGAAAATAATTCCCATGATTCTTTTTTCCTAGACTTTTCTTTTTTTTTTTTGTAGTTTTTGGCCGGGGCTGGGTTTGAACCTGACACTTCCAGTATATGGGGCCGGCGCCCTACTCCTTGAGCCACAGGTGCTGCCCAATTCCCGTGATTCCTATAAACTGAGTGTAGCTTCTGAGAGGGTACTTGTTCTGTAGTTGAAGTCCCAGGAGGCAGAGGCAGAACTGCCTTATCTCAAAGATTACATCATCTAGAACCTATCCTAAGTAGCTTCTAAATTCTCAATTAATACACACAAAGTAAAAACAGATATAGCTGGATGGAAATCAGAGATCACATGGCCCAGCCCACTTTACAAAAGAAAAATCTGAGAAGTGACTTGCCCAGTCAGTTAAGTGTTAGAGTTGGGCCCTGTGTCTATTGTCTTCCACCCCCCCGGTCAGTGTTTTGTCCATTATAATTATAGTACTCAGGGGACAGACAGTGTTATGAACCTAACTGGAAAAAGTCCAAGCTTTATAATTTACAGTCAGGAAAGAAGGAAAACCAGATTTGAGAAAAAAGGAGCACTATGGTACCCCTGAGAGATGGAAATCAGGGGTTGAATGGGCAGCATAAGGAAGGCAGAAGAGGCCTCTACAATGGAAAGGGAGAGAAAACTGGGGGCTTGAGAGTATGGAGGGAACAGAATAGACTTACATCTCTGCATCTGCTTGCTGTATTCAGACATGTTATCTGGACGGATGGAGCGCAAGAATTTAATGTAGTCATCACTGTGGTACTTGGTCATTTCCTCAGCATTGGCTTTATGAGGGCGCTAGGGGGCACAAGGGAGAAAGAGCAAGTTATTCTTGACTACTGCCAGTCTTTACACATTTGGGACACATTTTCTGCCTGACACTGAGCTAAGTGCTGTAAAGGCTTTAAAAAAAAACAAAACTGATTAGATTTAGGCCAAGAAACTTACAGTCTAATTAGGAAAACAAGATTATCAAAGGAGACTAGATACCAGAACACCTAGATCGAATCTCTACTGCTTAGGCAAGTTATAATCACTTGTTCCTCAATTTCCTCATTTACTAATTAGGGACATCTATCTCACACATGAGTTGTGAGAACTTGATGAGACTGTTAAACCTCTTTGTAAAACTGCAAGACACTTTACAAATTATTACTTTTTATTGTTAAATAATAACAGCATATAAATATGGACCAAATGGCTCCAAGAGATCAAGAAAAAATTAAGCTGGATGTGGAGGTGCCTGTAGTCCCAGTTACTCAGGAGGATGAAGCAAGAGGACTGCTTGAGCCCAGGAATCTGAGGTTACAGTAAGCTATGATCATGCTCCTGAACTCCAGTCTGGCTGACCAAGCTAGACTCTATTAAAAAAAAAAAAAAAAAAAAAAAAGACGCTGGGCAGCGCCTGTGGCTCAGTGGGTAGAGCACAACCCCATATACCGAGGGTGGTGGGTTCAAACTTGGCCCCAGCCAAACTGTAACAAAAAAATTGCTGGGCATCGTGGCGGGCACCTGTAGTCCCAGCTACTCGGGAGGCTGAGGCAAAAGAACCGCCTAAGCCCAGGAGCTAGAGGTTGCTGTGAGGTTTACGATGCCACAGCACTCTACCGAGGGCAATAAAATGAGACTCTGTCTCTATTAAAAAATGAAGAAGAAGAAAGAAGACACCAATGATTTTATTATAAAATGAAAAGAAACTAACTACTGACAACTGAAATAAATGGGAAATCCTTATAAAGCATCATATCAACAATTCTGATCACATTCTCTACACTGAAATTTCCTAGACATGATAATTTCTTGGTCATTCTAATATTCAGATACCTCCTTCCCTCTTTATAAAAATTCTCTTCTCTGCCTCCTAGCACTTAAATTAATTCTTCTTCAGAGATGATCCTCTTCCATCACTTGAGCCCAAGAGTTTGAGGTTACTGTGAACTATAGAGCCACAGCACTTTACCCAGGGTGACAAAGTGAGACTTTATCTCAAAAAAAAAAAAAAAATTTTTGGCCAAGTAGCTGTTGCCTATAATCCTAACACTCTGGGAGGCCAAGGCGGATGGATTGCCTAAGCTCAGGAGTTCAAGACCAGCTTGAGCAAGAGCCAGACAACATCTCTAAAAAAAAAAAGTAGCTGGAGATTGTGGTGGGCACCTGTAGTATCAGCTACACAAAGCCTGAGGCAAGAGCATTGCTTGAGCCCAAGAGTCTAAGGTTGCTGGGAGCTATGATGCCACAGTAGTCTACCAAGGGTAACAAAGTAAGACTCTGTCTCAAAAAAAACAAGACATAAACTTTGCAACTGCAAAGAGTACTTCCTACTACCACACAGTTCAAAACACAATAACATACATGGCAGACTCATTGAGCACTTTCACACATCTCTTACTGTGCATTTGTATGATTACTGTCTATGAATTTGTATTTGACAACAATTTGGATTCATTCATTTGTTTTCAAGGGTAGCCAGAGTCTGTCCAGAAATGCACCAAGCAGGAACTAACCTTAGACAGAATGTGGATCCACTGTAGGGTGCACTCACATACACAACCCATACTCGGACCGCAACAATTTAGGCATACTAGTTCACCTAACATGCACATCTTTGGGATGTAGGAGAAAACTGAAGTACCTAAAGAAAATCCATACAGATATGGAGAGAATGTGCAAAATCACACAGACAATAGCTGGCTGGGAATTGATTTTTTTTCTCATCAACCTTAAAACAAAATGGCATTGACCAACACCAAACTAAGCAATATTATTTGAAGATCTGCTGTACTTTTATAGTTTATAAAGCATTTTCAATATACACAGTTAACTTTTATTGTTTCTTCTGTGCCCATCACTGTTTCAGATACTCTAAATGCTATCTCATATAATCCTCATAACAACCTTTTAAAGAAACTACAAAGAGAGGTTAAGTAACTTGCCCAGGGTTAAACAGCTGATAACCTGGAAAAGGAACGCAGAGGTCTGGTACTATGTGACAGACTGAAAGATAATTTTCTTTTTATTTTTGAAACAGAATTTCACTCTGGCATCCTAAGTAGAGTGTTGTGGCATCATAGCTCACAGCAAACTCAAGCTCTTGGGCTCAAGTGATCATCTTGCCTGTTTTCTTTTTTTTTTTTTTTTTTTTTTTTTTTTTTTTTGAGACAGAGCCTCAAGCTGTCCCCCTGGGTAGAGTGCCGTGGCATTACAGCTCACAGCAACCTCCAACTCCTGGGCTCAAGCGAGTCTCCTGCCTCCGCCTCCCAAGTAGCTGGGACCACAGGCGCCCGCCACAACGCCCAGCTATTTTTTTTTTCCGTTGTAGCCGTCATTGTTGTTTGGCGGGTCGAGGCTGGGGATTCGAACCCGCCACCTTAGGTGTACGTGGCTGGCGCCTTAGCCGGTTGAGCTATAGGCACCAAGCCGAGACAGAGTCTTAAGCTCAGTAGAGTGCTATGGTGTCACATCTCACAGCAACCTCAAACTCTTGGGCTTAAACGATTCTCTTACCTCAGCCTCCCAAGTAGCTGGGACTACAGGCACCTGCCACAACACCCAGCTAGTTTTTTTGTTGTAGTTGTCATTGTTGTAGTTGTTTGTTGTCATTGTTTGGCAGGCCTGGGCTCAGTTCAAACCTGCCAGCTCTGGTGTATGTGGCCCTAACCGCTGAGTTACGGGTGCCGAGCCCTTCCTATTTTTTTAGTAGAGATAGGATCTCAATCTTGCTTAGGCTGGTCTTGAACCCCTAAGCTCAAACAATCTGCCCGCCTCAGTCTCTCAGAGTGCTAGAATTACAGGAGTGAGCCACTGCCCAGCCATGAAAGATGACATTTTGTCAAAAACACACACAGTGAGGCCAGGTGTGGTGGCTCATGCCTATAATCCTAGCACTCTGGGAGACCAAGGTGGGTGATCACCTGAGCTCAGGAGTTTTGAGACCACCCTGAGCAAAATGAGACCCCATCTCTACTAAAAAATAGAAAAACTAGGCAGGCATGGTGGCCGGTACCTACACTCCCAGTTACTCAGGAGGCTGAGACAAGAGGATCACTTGAGCCCCAGGAGTAGGAGGTGGCTGTGAGGTATGACACCATGGCATTCTATCAAGGGCGACAGAGTAAGACTCTATCTCAAAAAACAAACAAACAAACCCACACCATAGTGAAAGAAGCAAGGCTTGCATCCAAATACCAAGTTGTGTTTGCTATACTAAATCCTTTACCCTCTCTGTAATCTCACCAAAGCACTCTGCTTTTGCTACTCCTTCTGGACACATGACTGCCCAAACTTTATCTGTCTTTATCTTGATTCTGAGCTCTAGGATTACAATTTCATTAGCTCTCTAGCTATTTCTACCCACAGATCTATTTATTTATTTTTTATTTTTTTTGAGAGAGTCTCACTATATCGCCCTCTGGATAGAGTGCTATGGCATCACAGCTCATAGCAACCACCAACTTTTGGGTTAAGCGATTCTCTTGCCTCAGACTCCCGAGTAGCTGGGACTACAGGCGCCTGTCACAACACCCAGCTATTTTTTGTTGCAGAAGTTGTTTAGCTGGCCCAGGCTGGGTTAGAACCTACCACGCTCGGTGTACGTGCCTGGCACCATAACTGCCACCTACAAATCTAGAGGCACTTCAAATTCGACACAACAAGTTGTTGTTGAGAGCCTGGAAGTATTCAAATTCAACTTCCCTTCCAGAATTTCTCTTTTACTATTTCTGCTAATGACACCAACATCCACTCAAGCTGAAAACCTAAGTGTCTTTTTTTCCCCACATGTTCAGGGTAATAAATGCCAATTAAAACTCTCCCCTATAGACCTAGCTACTTGGGAGGCGGAGGCAGGAGAATCGCTTGAGCCCAGGAGTTGGAGGTTGCTGTGAGCTGTGGTGCCATGGTACTCTACCCAGGGCAACATCTTGGCTCTGTCTCCAAAAAAAAAAAAAAAGGCTCAGCACCCATAGCATAGTGGTTACAGTGCCAGCCACATATACAAAGGCTGGTGGGTTTGAACCCAGCCTAGGACGGCTAAACAATGACAACTGCAAACAAAAACAACTGGGCATTGTGGCAGGTGACTGTAGTCCTAGCTACTGGGAGGCTGAGGCAAGAGAATCACTTAAACCCTAGAGTTGGAGGTTGCTGTGAGCTGTGACACCACAGCACTCTACCGAGGGTGACATAATGAGACTCTGTCTCAAAAAAAAAAACAAACTATTTTTTTGCTTTCATTGCCAGTCTCTGTCATTATATCTTTATATCTCCATAATTTTGGGGGGGCTGGAGGGGGACAGAGTCTCAAGCTGTTGACCTGGGTAGAGTGCTATGACATCATAGCTCACAACAACCTCTCAAGTGATCCTCTTGCCTCAGTTTTCTTTTTCTTTTTAGTAGGAATGGGGGTCTCACTTTTGCTCAGACTGATCTCGAACTCGTAAGCTCAGGCAATCCACCCACCTCAGCCTCCCAGAGTGCTAGGATTACAAGCGTGAGCTACCATGCCCTGCCATATCTCCATAATCTTGATTGCACAGCCCTATTTCTCCCTGAAGGAGTGAAGAATATGCCATCCTAAAATACGCCTAATTGGTATATTGATTATTTAAAGTTGAAGACATTAGAGAAATTAAAAGTTTCAGACGGGGCTAGGGGAGCCCGCCACATACACGGGAGCTGGTGGGTTTGAATCCAGCCTGGCCCTGCCAAACAACGACTACACACATACACACACACACACACACACACACAAAATAGCCAGGCATTATGGCAAGTGCCTGTAGTCACCGCTACTTGGGAGG